ATCTACCAGTGCTAACTGAGTCAAAAGACCAAAAAAACTTTTTCTTTCTTTCTTTTTTTTTTTTTTTTTTTTTTTTTTTTTTGAAATGAAAGAATTAGATAATTTATCGTTCGTTTATCATTCATTAATCCATATGCCAATAAAGATAGAGTATGAAATAATGTTTCTTTTCGATTCTCATTGCCTAGGATAAGAATCTGCTAAGAATAATTGAATATTGAAAAATGCTCCATTTTATATTTCATATAATAGAATAATAAAATATTAAAAGAAATACACCGGATTAAATATAATAGCCCTTCAAGATCAGTGAATGGGGGAAATTCACACTCCCCGACTTTGCTATGCTAAATCATATGTCATCAGGTAATTTCAATCGTAATGAATTATTCCATAGGGTTTGACATATTAATAAGTTGGACGGATCTCTTTGTTAGAGAGGTCCTGGATTTAATGAATTCGCTCGAATATTGGAAGTAACACATCAGTTGTAACTTGACGATGTAATGTTGGTTTCTTGATGTGTTGTACGATAAATGTCTTTGGTGCAAGTTTTTCAGTAATTCTAAATGGTCCTTCATAACGAACATTAAATTTTGAATGCATATGGAGTGTTTTAACGAGAACGAGATCACCGGTATTGTATAATGGATCAGAACGATTTGCATCATAACGTTGTTTGTATCGTTCTTGGTTTTTTATAATATTAATTTTTGCTTGTGCATTTAATTTTGCTAAAAATTCATGAAGCTTTTTCACATGTTCATTGTCATATTGAATTGTAACATTATCTTCTTGATAATCAAATGGTAATATTGGTGTGCGGCCATACATCATTTCGAATGGAATTTGCTTGGTTGAGGAATGGATCGACGTGTTGTAATTGAACGTGACAAACGGTAATTGATCATCCCAATCTGTTTTTTGTATATTGGATAAAGCTGCAATTTTTGCATCCATTGTTGAATTGTATCTTTCAACTTGACCATTCGATTGAGGATGATATGGTGTTGAATATAAATGTGTTGATCCAATTTGTTTGACTAATTCATTCATAACTGTTGATGTAAAATGAGTGCCGTTGTCGGTTAAGATACATCGAGGTGTACCAAATTTTGAAATAACATCTTCTTTTAGAAATTTAACAGCTGTTTGTGCAGTATTATCACGTACTGCTTTTGTTACTACAAATTTTGATAAAATATCCGTGAGACATATAATATATTTATTACCACGACGAGATGTTGGATTAATAGGACCATGAAAATCCATAGCTACGAGTTGCCATACACCTTCTGGGGGTTTAATTGGTCGTAATTTACCAGGAGTTTTTTGTCGACGAGGATTATGTTGAGCACATAAAATACATGATTTAACATAATTATCAATGTCTTTGTACATTGAAGGCCAAAAATAACGTTGTTTAATTTTATATATCGTTTTATCTCTTCCGAAATGAGCACCATTGGCTGCAGTATCATGGTAAATTTGTAAAATTGTTTTTCGAAAATCACCTTGTGGTACATAAGGAACTGACGGTTTTGATCGACACATTAAAAGATTATCTTTGATCATATAATTTTTATATTTCTTGATATTGTTCAGAATATTTTTTGCATAATTATCATTTTGTTGAGCTTGAATTAATTCTTCAATGGAAAATGAAATTATTCGATTCTCTTTCATTGAATTATTCAATGTTTGATTGGCGGATGAAGAAGTTAGAGAATCTTGTGCTGATTTTGTGCCATCGTTCGGATCATTTAAAGTTTGATGTCGTAATTTCATCGCACGAGTTTGAACAGCTGCGACGATAGATGATTGGTTTTTTATATCTGAGAAATCGGTTTGTGTGGATTTCGAAATAAGAAGTGAAACTTCATCAGGATCTTCTTCGGCATCATCGACTGGGGACCTTGATAAATAATCAGGCATCGAGTTAGTTGAACCTGGGATATATTTCACCTTGAAGTCATATTCTAAGATTTTTAATCTCCATCTTTCACATCGTTTATTAAGTTGTGCTTTTTGATTTAGTTGTGTTAATGCCTTATGATCGGTTTCCCAAGTGAATTTAATTCCACTTAAATAATTATGCCATTTGTCTAAAGCACAAATAAAAGCATAACATTCTTGTTCCATAGGAGACCATTTACGTTGTGCTTGAGTAAATTTCTTAGAAAGATAAGCTACAGGTCTATCTCCATCAGGATAAGTTTGTAATAAAACAGCACCGATTCCCTCATCAGAAGCATCTGTTTGAACTTTAAAAGGGAATCTATTATTTGGTAGACGTAAAACTAAATCAGTTGTAAGAAAATGTTTGAGTTGTTCAAATGCTTTAATTTCTTCATCTGTTAGTTTAATTAACGTTTTTTGTCCTTTTTTCTGTTGCGTTCTGGTAGTTGGTACAAATTTCCTAAGTGGTTCGGCAATTTGTGAAAAATTTGGTATGAATTTTCTATAATATTCTGCTGCTTTAACAAATTTACAAGCTTCATCTGCTGTTTGTGGTAATTTTGTATTTAATAAGCCTTGTATATTGTGTGGACTTGGACGAATTTCACCATTTTGGATATGATGTCCAAGATATTCTGTTTGCGTACGAGCAATTTCGCATTTATCTGGATTGAGACGAAAACGAGCGTTTTTTAATATTTGACAAATTTCCTTGAGATGAGACAAATGTTCTTCGAATGTCTTGGAGTAAATAATTACATCATCAATATATGCTAATGCATATTTCCATCGTGCAGGACCTAATATGTGATTAATAACACGTTGAAATGTAGCTGGACCATTTGTTATTCCTTGTGGAAGAACTGTAAATTGATAATGATTGTCTCGGGTTGAGAAGGCAGTTTTTGGTCGGTCCTCTTCCGATAGAGGAACCTGAAAATATCCTGATTTAAAATCAAATTTTGTGTAATACGTTGCATCAGATAATTGATCGAATATTTCATCAATTCGTGGAAGTGGAAATGCATCTTTAATCGTGATGGCATTTAATCGACGATAATCAATGCAAAATCGCATGGTTTTGTCTTTCTTCTTGACGAGAACGATAGGTGATGACCATGGAGATGTTGATTCTTCAATTTGACCACGTTCTAATAATTTCTGTGTTTCTTGAAATTTAATTTCTTGATCTTTATACGAAGCTGAATATTGTTTCGAATAAATAGGTGGATGATCACCAGTTCTAATTGCCGATTGCGGTGGAATATTAATAATTGATGGTGTCGGATCAAATAATATTTTATTTCGCCATAATATATCTTGAATTGCTTCTCGATGTTTTGGATTTCCTATATGAGCAGTCGATTCGATTATTTGTTTTCGAATCTGATCTGAATAACATTGTGCACGTAAATGTTTTTGTAAGTCATTTCCAGATAGAAAATATTCATTACATTGATGACAACGATTATCTCGGAGAGTTTGATTCGAGTTATCTTTATCATATGAGATAGCTCTTATTTTAGGAATTTTGTGTTTTCGGGATGATTGAAAATTCGACGGTGGTTCCGGTTTTGTCGAATTTTGTATTGTAGTACATATGGACAATGTTGTGTCATATGATAGAGTTCCGATGCGTGTATTCTTTGGTAATGTTTGTTGACGATTTTGAGCATTTATTAATAAAATTTTTGCTTGATGATTATTAACATTTAATAATGTATGCGGTATAAAAATAAATTTTGAGATATAGCGATCATATGGTTCAAATATTAAATTGTTGGCATTAGTAACTTGAGAAGTAATGTCAACCAGTGTTTGTGAATGTGGAGGCAGGGTAATTTGATTAACTAATAGAGCGGGATAATTGATGGAAGCCGGTTCGGTGTATGGAATTCGAGTTAATTGACCATGTTGATCAGGAATTGTTAAGTGTTTCTGGTCGCCAAAGAGGTGAACATGATTAAAATTAATCCAGTCATTGCCTAAAAGAATTGGTGTAATTAAATTTGTTGCGACATAAGCAATGATATAAGTTTTAATATATTTAATTTTAATTTCCAATTCAATTTGACCAATAATATCAAGAGGAGTTGAATTTGCTGTTTGACACGTGTGGGTTTTGTAAATGAACTTGTTGTGATGAATAGTTTTGAGGAAATTTAAATGAATAATGGAGATGGCGGATCCTGTATCAACAATTGCCTCGGTTGGTTTATTATTAACATGAATTTTGATGTAGATTGGGGATAAGGATATTGTTGATGGCTTAACAACTTTACTGGGAACACCGCCATCATGTGACCCAGTTATTGAAAATTTGGAGGTAGTGTACAATCACAGACATTGTGATTTTGACCACAATTAAAACATCCGGTTGTACGTTTATGATAACAATCAATTGTTCGATGATTCCTGCGACCACAAACTTTACAGTTGTTGAATTGATATTGTGATGTTGGTCGACTATTGATTGGTTTCTTTTTTGATATTGATTGTGGTGGATAATTTCGAATTTGTTGTCTATCAGGTGCCATGGATGTTCGATTTCCAAGTGTTGGAATCGAGTTCCGCTGAGAAACGGAACTCTGTGATTGTGTTGAATGTGAAACAGAATTGTTGTGGTTCATGTTATTATAATATCGTTTTGGTTGATTAAGTGCAGCAGTCAGTGATGGACGATTGAAATTAGCATAGGGTTGTTGTGAATCGATTGATAAATTACGAAATGTATCATGTAAATCTTGTTCGATTTTTGCGTATTTTAAAAATTCATTCAATGTATTGATAGATGATTCACGTCTTGATAACTCCTTCCTAAAATCGGGATTAATTCCACTCATTAAATGTTGAATTATAATTTTTTCTGACATAGTTGGATCAATTTCCTGGCATAGATTAATAATGTCATCGAAATAAGACGTAATCGGTTCATCCGGTAATTGTTTACGTTGTTTTAATGTATCAAATTTCTTGTGAGTTGATGTTGTAGAAAAATATCGATTTCGAAATGCAGCTTCGAAATCTGACCATTTTTTGAAATTAGGTTCATTATTATCGAACCATATTCCTGCTGATCGAATTAATTTACCACGAACAATTTCTAAAATTTCATGATTATCTGATTCATCGGTTGCCTTGGTTATATTCTTGATGCTTTTCAAAAACCGTTCGACATCCTCAGAAGGATGTCCAGAAAAATTTGGTAAATCATCAAATCGTGCTTTACGAGCTTTTGCTAATAATGTTTGATCAGCCATTTTACGTGTATCAATGTTTTGTGTTTCCATTTCAATTGAATTAGTATGTGAAAATGTACGAGATTCTGAATTTGTAATAATAGTATATGGAAATAATTTGCTATTATTTTTCTTAACTTGAAATCTGGTTCCGGAAGCCGTTATGAAATTGTTATACAAGAATGACTTAATGTGATAGCAATAAATTCAACGATTGAATAAGATCAATTAATTTATGAATAATGAGTAAATGAATGAATGATGAACGAATGAATTATTCAACAAAAAATGAACGAAATTCTCTTTTTTTCTTAGAATTTCTGATTGTAATTTACTTGAATCCGTGAAGTACTAGATTATTTATCTATTTATATTATTTCTTCTTTTTTTTTTTTTTTTTTTTTTTTTTTTGAAAAGAAAAATGCCAGATTATTTTGTGTAACGAGAATTTTCGTACGGTTTACTTAAAAGTATTCCTTATGTTAGTGTTACTTCAATCTCATTATTTAGGGAAGAGATTTATTTACCTATCGATTGAATATAAAATAGTGATACAGTTAATATGACCCAATTTGAAAAAAAATCACACGAGTCTCTTTATGGGAGGCTCTTAATGGAAATTCAAGTCTCTTTTTTTCTTTAGAGGCTTTAGTAATTGTAGTAATTCGAGTTTCTATAATAGAAGCTCTATTCCATATAAATAATAA